CGTCCAAGCAGCAGCAGAGAAACCGACAAAGGTTTGAAAGAGAAGGAGGGAGCCCCCTGTAGCGGTCCGGAGCGGCAGGGTGGGTATAAGCTAGTGCCCAAAAAAGGCAGTGGGGGGAACGTCTGGATTGTACAGCAAGGATCGGAGACTCCGACCTTGGCCAGAGAACCCTTGGATGCCCACAGCTCGCCTCAGGAACAGCGTTGCTCAGTTCTAGCTCTCCCCTCCAGAACAAACGCCAAGCACAACTCTGGCCCCCAAGGCTGTGTACTCCGCGCGGGGAGAGCCTTTGGCACCCAGTTCCCGGGGGGCTATCTACAGATGCGGCTTTGAAAGCTCCCACGCACGCCCTGCGCCCTCGCCGGGACAGAACCCCTAGCGAGTTGGACTCGCTTTGGTCTTCACTTCTGCCCTCCGCCCTCCCCGAACATGACCTAGAGGCACCTGCGCTTGGAGGCAGTCGCCGCAGCCACGACAGTCACCATGAATAAGGAGGCTGGCGGAGAGGAGCTTGCAGAACTCTTCGGTCTGATCCCGTCCCTTCTACAGGCGGCCAACAACAGCGGCAACGCGTCGTCGCTGCAGCTCCAGGACTTGTGGTGGGAGCTGGGGCTGGAGTTTACTGACGGCGCGGCGCCGGGGCATCCCCCGGGCACCGGCGGGGCAGAAAGTGCGGACACCGAGTCCCGGGTGCGGATCCTCATCAGCGCGGTGTACTGGGTGGTTTGCGCGTTGGGGCTGACTGGCAACCTGCTGGTGCTCTACCTGATGAAGAGTAAGCAGGGATGGCGCAAGTCCTCCATCAACCTCTTTGTCACCAACCTGGCGCTGACAGACTTTCAATTCGTACTCACCCTGCCCTTCTGGGCGGTGGAAAACGCTCTCGACTTCAAATGGCCCTTCGGCAAGGCCATGTGTAAGATCGTATCCATAGTGACGTCCATGAACATGTACGCCAGCGTCTTCTTCCTCACCTCCATGAGCGTGGCGCGCTACCACTCGGTGGCGTCCGCTCTTAAGAGCCACCGGACCCGAGGGCATGGCCGGGGCGAATGCTGCGGCCAAAGCCTGGGGGACAGCTGCTGCTTCTCAGCCAAAGCACTGTGCGTATTGATCTGGGCCTCCGCCGCGCTGGCCTCGTTGCCCAACGCGGTCTTCTCCACCACCATCAAGGTGATGGGCGAGGAGCTGTGCCTGGTGCGCTTCCCAGACAAGTTGCTGGGCGGAGACAGACAGTTCTGGCTGGGCCTCTACCACTTGCAGAAGGTGCTGCTAGGCTTCGTGCTTCCGTTGTGCATCACCAGCCTGTGCTATCTTCTGCTGGTGCGCTTCATCTCCGACCGCCGTGTGGCTGGGACCGAAGGAGGAGCCTCAGCCGCCCGGGGCGGCCTGGCCACAGCCAGCACCCGGAGACGGTCGAAGGTCACCAAATCTGTGACCATCGTGGTCCTATCCTTCTTCCTGTGTTGGTTGCCCAACCAGGCTCTCACTACCTGGAGCATCCTCATCAAGTTCAACGCCGTGCCCTTCAGCCAAGAGTATTTCCTGTGCCAGGTATACGCGTTCCCGGTGAGCGTGTGCCTGGCTCACTCCAACAGCTGTCTCAACCCCATCCTCTACTGCCTGGTGCGCCGCGAGTTCCGCAAAGCGCTCAAGAGTCTACTGTGGCGCATCGCGTCCCCTTCTCTGACCAGCATGCGCCCTTTCACGGCCACCACCAAGCCAGAGCCCGAGGAGCAGGGACTGCAGGCCCTGGCACCTCTCCACCGGACCGCGGAGCCTGACCTGGTCTACTACCCGCCTGGCGTGGTGGTCTACAGCGGGGGGCGCTACGACCTGCTGCCCAGCAGCTCCGCCTACTGACTGGGGGCCGGGGACGCAGTCACTGCAAAGTGGCCTTCCCCGGGCGGGGAAAGAAGAAAGCAGATAAGCGATGCTGGGGGCCCATCGGATGAGAGGTAGGAGGGACCAAGACAGGGAAAAGCCTAGAGGAACAGCCTGTGAAATGGCGGGGGAGGGGAGGCCGTCTGCGGAGAGGGAAGGCTTCAAACCAGGTGGAGAGAGGACGCTGGCAAATGTTAGACTCACAAGAACAAGCCGCCAGCCTGCGTCCCCTTCTCCCCACATAGACTTCTTCCTCCCCTTAAGCTCTCAACACTGGGCTGGGTGAGGGCGCCCGGAAGCGGAGAAAGGAATCAGGAATGAAGAGAAATTGGGCACAAGGAAGTGGGGCTCAGCCAGAGATGCGCCGACAACTGAGCGCATTTACTCCAGCGACTTTCATGAAGCTCTTGAAGGGGTCTTCAAAGTGCATCCAACCGGGGGAGCCGCCCACCAAAGCTTTCCTTCGCGCCTTGCGCGCGAGACCGCCACAGCGCCATCTGACTTGCAGCATGGTTGCGCAGGGGACCAGTTTGGGAATAAGAAACTTTTTCGGAGTCGCCAGAAAGTACTGACGATCCCGATCCGCCCTCTAGAGAAAGGCACCGCGAGAGGGGTACCTCCCATGGAGCCATTGTAGAGTTAATCATCCTCGACAGAGCCGGTGGGTGCGCGGGAGCCGGATCGCGACTCTATGCTTAGGTGTCACCGAGGCAAAATACTTGTCTCCAACGCGCACTAGAGATTCGCGGGGGAGTGGCGTCACTGCGGGAAGAAGCCGGTGCAGAGAGGTGAGAGGGGCTGAATAGAGACTTCATCGGGCCACGGCCTTTATAGGGAAAGTGGAGCTGACGTGCTCACTTGGTGACCGAGCAGGAAGTGAGTGCTCCAGGCGCTGGCAGCGGGGACATCCCGGTTCCCGGAGAGCATAGCGGGTCTCCTGGAAACGCAGCGCGCTCCAGTGTGCGCGGTGCAGGCGAGCTGTGCCCTGGAGCAACTTGACAAGGTCTGAGTAGACAGGTCTGCGGGTGGGGACTTTTCAGCAGCACTCCCCTCCCCGCCCCCACTCTTCGCAAATCCGGACGTCCATTTGATAGAGGCTCGGGACCAACCAGTAGAGGGATGGCCCCGCCAGGGTTTTTGTAGGCTTAGACAGAAAACTAAGATTATGACTTCCATCTACCACAAAGACAAATAAATAAATAAATAAATAAACTAGGAAATGGCCACATTTATTTTATGTTTTTGAGTGCCAGTTGTGTGCCAAGCCCTGTACTGGCTGCTGAGATGACATATACAAGGTAGACACATTAATGATTTTGACATCTAGAAGGAAACACAAGTCATGTCCACAAGGCAACTAAGTCACTGAATGAAGAGCTGAATGTCATAACAATGGCTACGAGAAAGTGAGTCCATGGGGATGGAGAGCTTAGCTCTGCTGGGGGTTCAGAGACTTCCTCACCAAAACAGTACTTGAGATGGACCTAGAAATATGGGTACAAGTTAGATGGGCAGGAATGGCGATTTAGACCGGCAGCAGGGACATAGAGAGGACATTTGAAGCTGAAGAAAAGCAATTATTAAAGGTTGGAGATTGGCCTGTCAACTGCATGGGGGGAGGAAGCAGGAAATAAAGCAGTTTGGCTTCCTTTTCTTCTACAGAATTTCCTGGGATTTCTGTTCAATTTAGATGTCCCTGTATTTGTTTTGTTTGTCTGAGAATAGAACATTTTTGTCCCAGACAGAACATGTCATTGGTAACCTCAGAACAAATACTTGAGTTCCCAAAAGTGGTTAAAGACTTTTAAAATTTACTTCTATCCTCTCATTCAAACCTCAGTGGAGTTGAGTTAAAAGAGCAGAGTGTTTATTTGAATATTTGAGTGAGTGTTCATGCATATGTAAAAGGGGGATGGGGTGGGTAGATGAGATGCCCCAGGGTGGGTGCTCTGGCTCCTTTCTTCATGCCAGCAGCCCATCCAGTGCTCTAGCTGAAAAGAGCTTCACTCGTAATAAAGATCACACCCTGTGTTTGGCCAGAGATGACAACTCTTAACTTCTTGGGGTCCAGGTAAGAGGGTCCTCTGCTGCAGGTCACCCTCCTAGCTCACCCATTCATGATTTCAAAATATTCAATCACCAGAACAGTCTTTGGAGAAATGATCAGGAAATAAACATTGAAGTCTGCAAATAATTCCATTTTAAAACCTAACAGAGGTCAAAGACAGGTGGGTAAAGCAAGAGGGGTAGCTTGGTGCTGTCTCTTTTAATAAATGTAGGGTACCAAGTCACGTGGGGTCCTCTGGGCATCGGCACATTATCATCCCACACTATGGGGAAGGGAGCAGGGATTGATTGTCCCTGACCATTCCTCTAACTCAGTATGACCTTGCAGCTCTAGGATAGTTAATGTGAAGGAGATGGAGGAGGGAAGACTGGAAGACAGACTGGTTTTGAGGGTTGATTATCTCTTGTAATTTATTGAATACTGTATTGAAAGTGAAAAAAATCAACGTAGCCCTATGGGGACAGAATGGTTGTCAATGTACCAGATGTTCACCTTTGTGATCGTGAGGCTGACTGGGAGCTGTGGCTACCACTGCCTGGCATCAAGAGAGAGGGTCATATGGCATATCACCTAGGAAAGATCAAAATTCAAAATTCGAAGTATGGGTTTCTACTGAATGCGCATTGCTGTCCAACTATCATAAAGTAAAAAAAAAAAAATTTTTTTTTTTTGTTAAGTCCAACTATTGTTAAGTCAGGGACTATCTGTCTGTATGAGTGAATTAAATATGAATAAATTAATATCATAAAATAAATCGTCAGCAATATTTTGAGCATTGGTGAATTAACGAAAAATATGACCCTCTGACAAAATACGGACCTCTAATTAGAAAAAACACAACACATGATAGAATAAACCCAATTGTCGTGTGTAGAACTAGTCTGCTTCTCAAGTTTGGTCAAGGCCAGAAATACCCTGAGATGGAGGCGCTCTCTCCCACACTCAGCTTTTGCCCCAGTGAATGGAGGCCGATCCCAGTCTTTTCTAAGATGAATAATGCCTGAAATCTGGAAACTGTTGTGCAGAGAGCTGGCAGAAAGTGAGGTGTGGGCAGACCCCAAAACTGTAGAGCCAAAGAAAGAGATTGATTTTCTGCCATGGACTTCCCAGTGTCTGAGGGTAGGGACAATGTTTATTGACCTAGTCCACGTATTTAACAAAGAGAGCCACAAAACAGCAGCCGATCAGCGACACTGCAGAGGCCGTGATTACCACGATGACGCTCCCAGCCTTGTTGACCAGGAAGCCCAGGCCACCTCCGACTAGGATCTGAGCCAGCTGCACCATGCAGGTGAGGACAGCGCAATCCAGGCCCTGCCCTCTCCCATCGCTGTCCAGGCTCCATCCTGGGGCCTGCCGTCTCTGCAAGGGAAATGCAGGAACACACTTACTCTACATGAACCATCCTTCAGGGCAGCCATTGGGATGGGGGGCCCAGAAATATTGCAACTGCAGGGGACGCTGGGGCAATTGTCAGAATCCCCAGGTTCCCCTTTCCTCTTCTCTGTGGAGGTGGGGTGGTTTCTCAGCATTCCTGAGCCCCCTTTTCCTAATCAGATAACAGAGGGCAATGGTACCTATTCTGCTGCTCTCCGGGGGCACAGGGCTTCCAAGTAAGGAGTAGGGTGCAGTCTGGGAAGTTGGTCATGCTTTGGCCAGACCATCATTACATTTGGCTGGGCATTTTAGAGTTGCTGTTTCAAGATCCTTATTCTCCGGCTGGGCCCTCCACTTTCCTCCCACATCCCCCCTGGCCTTCCGGTGAGGTTCAATGACATACCTTCTCATCCTGCTCCTCACGGTGGTACTTGGCAATGAGGCTGAAGGGCACAGTGTACAGAGTGCTGGACATCACACCAAACAAGGTACACATAGTCAGGGTGGAGTAGACATTCGGGAAAAGTCCAATCAATCCTGTCCCCAGGCCAAATAGAAAATACCCCAGGAAGTAAAGACCTTTCAACCCTACGTAGGATCCCAAAGGTCTCTGAAGGTCTGTGGGGAGAAGAAAGAAAGAAATTACGCTGAGCAGTTCCTCATAATATTTTGTAATTTCAGAGAATCTTTTCTTTTCAAATTCACTTTTTTTCTAAGGAGCTTTCCTTTGATACTGAATATGGAACAAAAGAACCTCCTTATCTGTGCTTAAAGACAGCTGGCTTTTGGAATCAGTTTTAAATCCTGTGCACACAGAGGGCTGGAAATTGCCTCCCGAGGTTGATTTTCTTTTTCCACAAGTAAGGACCAGGCAGCTGAATAGTGCCAGGATGCAAAGAGATGGTGGGAAAGGCCACCTTGGCTATGGGACTGTGGGCGTGACAGGGGTGCCAGATGTGGGAGGAGAGTGGGTCCTTCTGATTCAGAGTCTGGCCTAATAGGACACAAACAATAATCCAGGCCTATCTTGACTCCATGGCCCAAAGTTAGGTTGGAGGAAACTGAAACCACCAGATTTTAAGAATGATGCAAGTTATCTCGTTCCCTGACCAGCCCCCCACACCCCCACACCCACTCCCACCCCACCCCCCACCCCTCACCCCCCACCCCCCCGCCCCGCATTTGAATGTCATCTGCATGCCTAAGAAGGAAGCCAAAGAATGCTCTCTGTCTATGGACAGGCAGGTTGCCTGACTTGCCAACACTTCCCCATTGGTGAGAGGCCCTTTCTGTACCCAGTGCCACCCCATTGTAGGCTCCCTCCCCATCAGTCCATTCCCTTCACTTGTCTAAACCTCAACTTCCTCATCCAAAAGAAACCTAAAAAGACAAAGGAACAAACAAATGGGACTAGTAAAACCCTTCTTTGTGGTTGTTGTCAGGATCAAGTGAGATCCAAAGCTTGCGACATCACTGAGCCCAGCACCCAGCACACGTAGACCATCCGGTTAATGATTAATGGTGGGTATTGTTATTTCAACAAATACAGGCATGCAAGATGGTTATCTCTTAAGGAGGTTCCCCTCCCAGCAAGTAAATTTGGCTTGCTCCTAAAAGTACTGTAGTAGAGTTCATTCCTAAAAATTGAAATTTTTTTGCTTTAAAATGTTTCATTCTGTGTTCCACCATGGTGGGAAAATTCCCTAAAAAACCCTCCAGTCTCTCTGTTTTAAGTGGCTGTTTCTCATCCATAGGCTCCCTATCTTTCTCCTGGCCATCCTACTGGAACATATGAACCCAGGGGATGACTGACAAAGACCTGGAGTGTGTCTATTCAAGAATGAAATTCTCCCTATCTAACCAAATAACTGTTGGACTCGCATCACAAAGACAGGAAACCTAATCTGTATTACACTTGATTCAATTATGAAACTAAACACTATTTCAGATCATCCCATGGAAGTCAGAGCTTGACAAGTGGACACCATTACTTCCTCTACTAAGTTCATATCATCCCTAGGGGGCTGTTGTCAAGGTGGAGAGAAAAAGCCATCTAGAGTTAGGTCAGTTTCTGTTTGCTTAATGATTATATTTATACAAAAAATGTAATCTAGATGTCTCAGTACCCAAAAGACATTATCAGTATTCACTGGAGAAATGCTCTCATCCAGTATGTTGGCCAGCCAAGAGGAGGGCAAAGAAGCATAAAGAGCTATTGGGAAATATAAGCAACTTCAGAACAAAGACTGGAAGCCAAGCAAAGAAACTTTTATCCATGAGGAGAAATCAGTCAGTGTAAGCGTAAAGCTGACTTGCCTTCCACTGGGTCTAATACCGAGTCACGGTATGTCCTCACAGTGTGTCTCTCGTTACAACTGGAGGTAAATAATGTATTTAAGCATCGGCTATGAGTAGGAGTGTTGGATATGAAAAATTGGCTACATTCCAGTACTTAATACTGCTATTTTCATGGATCTAAGTATGCCCGCTATGCAAAAGGAACTTGAAAATACCATCCCTCACCCTCCACCCCAGCAGCCAGATTGCCCTGCCAAACTCCATCTGGATAGAAATTCTAGATCTGCATCTGATGTTATGTGATGAGTCCAAGATAGCGGGTGCGCTCTGGAACTGAAGGACCTGATTGATTTTGCTCAGGGTGGGCTGGAGTGCAGGGGGAGAGAACTTGGAAGATTTAACAGACAAGGTCCACTGGACCTGAGTCTAAAAGCACAATTAGCAGTTGTCTAGATGTGGAATTAGAGAGAGCATCTGGAGAAGGAGAAACCAAAAGCAGTAGGAAATACACAGAGTTGAGAAAGTCTGTGTAATGAGTCCTCAGGGGCAGTGAATCTGAATGGGGAGCGAGAGGTCAAAGTGTGACGGGGACCCAAACTGAGAATCTTGGAACACCAGGTTCAGGACTTCGACTTTGGTCACCGAGAGTCCCTGAAGATCCTTAAGGGCTGACTGGCAATTTATAAATAAAATTTAGTTCTAATTCAAGTGAAAGGGATCCCATAGATTGATACATTAATATAACTTTGGGAAACTATTCAAATAATAATTTATTGTACACAGGGCTTTTAACTCGAAAGGACCTAAAAATAACATGCATTTTAATCTTCAAATGCCATGCAATTCGTACAGGAACTAAGACTAGACTAAGGGAATGTCCCTAATGGGGATTCTTTGAGAAAAAAAAGTATTGACACAGGGGCGCCTGGATGGCTCAGTAGGATAAGCCTCTGCCTTTGGCTTAGGTCATGTTCGCAGGGTCCTGGAATGGAGCTCCGCATAGGGCTCTCTGCTCAGCAGGGAGCCTGCTTTCCCCTCTCTGTGTCTGCCTGCCTCTGCCTACTTGTGCTCCGTCATATAATTAAATAAAATCTTAAAAAAAAAAAAGCATTGACACAAAACTAAAATGTGTATTACTTGTGGAAAATTGGGCTCCTCTTACAAGAACAAGGGTGGTAGTAAATAGTCTCTCCACATCTTGAAAGCACAAAAGGACTGAGAGGAATGATGAGACCCTTTTAGTCTATTATTCTCTGATTCTATTTTAAGTACTTGAAACCCTCCTCCTGTGATTTTCTTCGTTCATGCCCCCTGGGAGTGGGAGGTAAGGAGTGGGGAGGGGAAATATAAGTTATAAGCCACTATTATTTTGTTATTATAAATTTTAGAATAATAAAGTTTACTGTTTCATGATTACTGGGCTCATGAATTCCTTACGTGTTTTTCCCAATTGCACTTTTCTCAATTGTGCTATATTTTGAAGAGATTTTTTGACCCTGAAGCAGGTTTCCTGCTGTGCTGTGGCTAGTTGGAAGTCAGACAAGGGGACACTATAAGCATTCCCTCTCTTGCCCCCACCCAAGAAGCACACTTCAATGGCAGAATGAATGCCCCTGAGAATGGTAACAGGGATCACCCTCCAATACTTACCCTTCTCCCACATGGGCCATAACCCTGCTGTTCCTTGGGCCTGCCCAAAGCTTAGAGCTCTGTGTTGGGGGCCAGCTATCTCCCCACAATCTAGGAGGAGTTTCCATTATTATTAGAAGCCCAATTTCCATCCCAAAGGGGGGACCTGATTACATTTTATAGGCTAGATTATTTCACTTAATTCAATGCATACAGATCTTGGAGATGTCCATATACATTGGCAGGCACCAAATGAGACTAAGGTTATAGTACATTAGTTTGGGATTGTTTAAAACCAATCACAGAGGTGCCTGGGTGGCTCAGTCTGTTGAGCGACAGACTCTTGATTTCAGCTTTGGTCATCTGAGGGGTCTTGGAGTTGAGCTCTGCATCAGGGTCTGTGTTCAGCTTGGAGTCTGCTTATCTCTCTTCCTCTGCTCCTTCCCCAATGCTCTCTCTCTCTCTCTCAAATAAATTAGATAAATAAAATCTTTTTTAAAGACACAATAAATAAATAAATAAAACCAATCACAGGAATCTCTTTGTGTGCAGTGTCTTTACAAATGAAATGTGGCTAAGTGGGGGTTAATGGACTCAGTCCCCATGGAAAGCTGGTACCTGGGAAAGAAAGTTGTCATCCTCAGTCCTGGAACAGTGCTCCTGTGACATACCTTCCTCCCCACCTGAGCTAAGGTCATTTTGCATGTTAGTTCTGTCACCTAGCATATTAACCATCCCTCTTATGTTCTGTCATCTACAGATCTAATAAGCTATATTTGTGTATATGTGAAACTCCACCAGTGACCTTACTCCAATAGAACACAGACCTGATGCTAATCAGTACTCAGTGCTGGGACCCTAGTCCTTGTGTATCTCACAGTTCACCATCTGGTTTCCAAGATTTCCTTTTATTTTCCAGGGAACTTTGATCAAGAACCCATGAACTCCAAGGAAAAAGTAATCAATGAGGAAAGTAACATAGACTTCAGTATGGAAAGAGAATACATCTTGTGGTCCTTTCTAAGGGAAGAGTTTTTCCTGATCTCCATATAATTATCAAGAATCTGGTATTTTATTTTATTATTTTATTTTATTTTATTTCATAGATTTATTTATTGGAAAGAGAGAGAGCAAGCATGAGTGTGAGGGCCAGAGGAAGAAGGAGGGAAAATCCCAAGGAGACCCCACACTGAAGAAGGAGACTGACATGGGGTTCGATCTCACGACCCTAGGATTATGACCTATGCCAAACCAAGAGTCAGATGCCTAACTGCCTATGCCACCCAGGGGACCCAAGGATCTGGTATTTTAAAAAGCAGAAAATAAATATAAAAATATAAAATCCAAAATTCTGCTAGACCAGAGCCCTCTAGAAGATACTTTCAGAAGGAAGAGACTTACAAGAATAAAGTGAGGAAAACACGGCATTGATGCACAAGCCCCAACATCCAACCTCGACCCCTCTTTCGTAGATGAGAAACTCTGTGGAGTTGTGTGCACTGTAGGGATCCCCGTGGTACACAATCTGAAAGAGAGATTTGGGAACATTGAGATACAAACGCACTGTGGTAGGGACTCCCTTTTATGTGCTCTCTCTGTCCCTGTACAGCTTCCCAGGACACAGAGCTCACTCTCCCATGACCATATCACCCCTCTCTTCCTCTTACACTTCTACTCAAGGACCTTCAGGAAGTCCTAATGCCATCAAGTCTAAGCAGCATTTCCCTGGATCATTAACACCCTTCCTTCCGCCTAACACCTGGCTCCTGCCTGACTTAGGCAACCCTGCCACCCTTCTTCGGGTACAGCCAGCAGGCTTCTGACTCATCTCCACACGTGCCATTCCTATTTCTGCTTAGAATGTTTTCCCTCTTCTCTGTCTAGCTCATTTTCACCTTTCAAGGCCTGGGTCATACTGAACATGCTTTGTTGAGCCTGCCACGACAGCTGCAGCTCACACTGCATCTTCCCTGTCTGCTGTATTTGATCAAGTGCTGGTCCCATAGAGATGTCTTGGGTGCAGTAAATTGTCTCCAGCTCCTGTCTGTAAGACAGCTCTTTGAAGGTACTCTTTCTTATACTCTCACTGTGCCCATCCTAGGAGTGAGCCGAGAAGAAACTCGACAGGTGCTGAACAAGGGAGTGATGTGCAAGTCAATGAGTCTTTGCACAAACATGTTTATTACCTGACCCATGAAATCTGTGAAGAAGAGCATGTTAGATAGGAAGGCGGTCCATCCAATGAAGTGGCTGATGCAAAGGCAGTGGTACTGGGGAGGCATGTTCACCAGCGCCCTCAGCAGTGACTTCATGGTCATCGCTTTCCTATACTGGAATAAAACATGAAACTGGTGTGAACTTCAGGGCAGACGTGCAGCCAGCTGTGTGAGCCAGAGCACTCAGCCGTGTTTCACATCTGTCAGTCGATTACCCCGACAGAATCACACTTTCTGGGCACAGCACCAAGGTTTCCATAGAGAGGTCTTATAGGAGGTGTTCTGTTAAGTATGTGTGGATACTGAGCAATTTCAGGCCCTGAATAAAGCTTTGGAGACTTAAGGGCAAAGGGACTGCAAATGGAACTTGCTTTGGGCCAAGGTGGAACAAATATCTAACATCCTGTCTTTGAATGACAAAACCACTACATAAGGACAGAGCTCACAGATCTAAGCTTGCCCTTGGATGATTATAATTCTTAGATTTCTTGAGTCTGAAAGTGTGTTAGACTGAATTCTAAGATGGCCCCATGAACTCTGTCCCCTGATGTTACCCCATAATTATGTTATGTTACATGGAAGAGGGATTTTGCAGATATAATTAAGGTTACTAATTTATTGACTTTGAGTTAATCAAAAGGGAGATTAGCTGGGTACTCTAACCGGATCACATGAGTCCTTTAAAAAGTAGAGAATTTTCTGTAGGTGAGAGCAGAAAAGGAAGTTAGAGAATTTTAAAGCACAAGGGTTACTAGCTTTAAAGGTGGAAGAGACCCAATGGAAGGGACTTTAGATGAGATGCGATTGACTCCTGGCCATCAGCCAGCAAAAAAAAAGGAGCATCTCAGTCCTACAACCACAAGGAGCTGGGTTCTACTTGAATGAGCTCAGAAGCCGATTCTTCCCCAGTTGAGCCTCCAGATGAGAATGCACTTCCATTCACAACTTGATTTCAGCCTTGTGACACCCTAAGCAGAGAACCCGGTTGAGCCCACCCAAAACTCTGACCTATAGGACTGTGACATAATAAATGTGCTTTTAAGCTCCTTGAGGTAATTTTCTAGGTAATTTGCTAGGTAGCAACAGAAAACTAATACAAAGAGCCAAGCAGCTCCCTGCTCTTGCTCAGGTCCCTCTTTCCAGTTTATTTTTTTCTGGTTCCTGCCATGAGCCAGCACATGTAAATGATCCCTATATGGAGTCAGAGGTGAAGTCAATATAAAATACACACACACACATATACACACACAATGAATACACATATCCACATTCTTTAATTTGGACTTAAATTGTGTTGAAACCAAAGGCTACACTGTTTTTGTTCTTGTTTTTGTTTTTTTGCCTCAGAAACCTTGAGAAAATGAGAAATCTTGAACTATTGACACAACTGTTTTGAAATAAAAAGAATAAAAGAGCTTTCGGCGTCTTGTTTTATAACAGAAGAAAGAAAGGTTGGGAATATTAAGACACTGAGACTATAAACATCAATCATGGTGGGGGATTAGGTCTTTCTTGTCAGATCTTTATTTATTCTGAGTCTTGACATAATGAAATTGAGTCCTGGCTAGTTTATTTATAAGGTGGTCTCCTGGGAATTTCTATTTTAACTATAACAACATATTGTTTTATAACTCTTAACTTTATATAACAATGCCTTTCCCTTCAATATTTATTGTGGAAAAATACATTTACTTATTGTAGATTTGTTACATAAATTGATTTTTTAATTTGTCAATTTTTTAGTATTTAACCTACTGGTGTAGTCTGCCTATAGGTTAAATAAATAAATGATCTTACACAGTCTTTCCCACTCATATCCATGGGGAATACCTTCCAAGACCCCCACTGGATGCCTGAAACAGCCTATAGTATCAAACCCTAGATAGACTATGTTTTTTTGTATGTACACATACTAACGATAAGTTTTAATTTATAAATTAGACACAGTCAGAGATTAACAACAATAACTAATAGCAAAATAGAACAATTACAACAATATACTATAATAAAAGTTGTGAGTGTGATCTCTCCCTCCTAAAATACATCATTGTATTGTACCAACTGTTCTTCTTCATCTTCTTCCTGTGATGACATGAGATGATAGAAGGCTTTTATGGAATGAGATGAAATGAGGTGGATGACATACCATTAGGCTATTATTATTGACCTTTTTTTTTAAGATTTTATTTATTTGACAGAGGGAGAGAGAGAGAGATCAACAGTAAGGCTGAGCAGCAGGCAGAGAGAGGGGGGAAGCAAGCTCCCCACTGAGCAGAGAGCCCGATGCGGGACTCGATCCCATGACCCTGAGATCATGACCTGAGCCAAAGGCAGAGGCTTAACCCACTGAGCCACCCAGGCATCCCCACTATTGACCTTCTGATGATAAATCAAAAGGGTCATCTGCTTCCAGATGGCGGTTGACCACAGGCAACTGAAATTTGGAAAGTGAAACTTCAGATAACTGGGGACAACCGTACCTAGTCAGTATTTAAAAAGCATAGACATTCCTTTGGAATTAGGAAAAATAACTTTTTGAACGTAAAATACAGTAACTGTCAAAATAAATGTTGACTGAAAAAGAAACTCAATGCAGGATTGTTACTTTTTATTTGACCATAGGAAGAAGCTAAGGTTAGAGAACCAAAAACAGGGGTTCCTGGCTGGTGCAGTTGGTAAAGCACACAACTCTTGTTCTCAGGGTTGTAGGTTTAAGCCTCGTGCTGGGTGTAAAGAAATAAAATCTTTAAACAGCAATAGCCTAAGTTTCATGCCTTTCCTTCTTTTCATTCCAAAAATGCAAAATTCTAAAAAGTGAATGTGGCCAGCAAGTATTCATCCTCTTTCCAAATCCTAATTTATGCTTCTGCCTTAGACGTAATTTTCATCCTACTTTCATTGTTAATCTAACTTTCCCTTTCATCCAAAAACAAATATGAGCTTTCAAATTGTGTCTAGTGTTTCTGCAAAAGCTGGGATTGTAAATATTCAAACACTTTGGGCATTTCCACTCAGAAGGAACATTCAGAAGGCATCTTATTCTGGGACTCATCAGTTCCCTTGGAGAAGCCCTCTCCATGGCCCAGGGCCCTTGGGAGTTGCTCTACTCCATGTATCCTGCACCTTTGTCAACTGGAGGTTGAGTGGTGTTGGATTTATACGTGAAAAATGCACAGAGCCAAGAGCGGGGAGGAGAACTTCATGAGAGTGCACTCAAAAGGAGACCACTGAAAGGTTGAAGTAAGCAATGATAGCATGGAGGAACTGCAGATGAATTTTATGGGATCCAGTCTGAATCCTGAAATAATTCAGGCCTCCTCTTGCCATTGAAAAAAAATTAGTCCCAATTCTCCAACTGCATCACCACCGTCATTTTGGGAAGTGTTATATTCCACCTTGGAATGTAAGTAATAGTATAAATGGCTTATTATGCCCCCTGTTAGGGCTGTAAGTCTTTGAGCATAGTGAGCAGATTAGTCAATTTTATGATCCCTAAATACCTAGTAATGCTCTGTACATACTTGGTACCCAAAGTAGTGTGTTGACTAAATAATGACTATAATGTTTTCATAGTCATATAAAGCTTAAAAAGCACTTTACATGCTTTATCTTAGTTGAACAACCCAATAATCCTGGAAAATAGGCCAACCCATCAGGAGACGTTGAACTCACAGAGACTCACTGAGCTTGTATGAAAGTTCTGTTGGAGCACAGATTAAGTCTATTCCCTGTTGGTGTGTGAGGGGCTCAGCATTCTGCTTGGCTCATAATAGGCACTTGTAGCTAACACCTTACTATGTGGTAGGAACCAATCTAAGTAAGTTTTGCATGGCTTATGTCATAGAATCAGCACAAAACACTTGTAGGTAAATAGAACAACTTTCTCATTTTACAGAAATGTAAACGCTCAAGGTCATGCGTTCCAGAAGTGGTAGAGGCAGGATTTGAACACCTATGCTCTTAATATTTTAATTTTTTTTTTTTAAGAGAGTGCCTGCAAGCATGGGGGTAGGGGCAGAGGGAGAGGGAGAGAGAGACTCTTAAGCAGGAGCCATGCTCAGTGCAGAGCCTGATGCCAATGAGGGGCTTGATCTCACCAACCTGAGATCATGAACTAAGCCCAAACCAAGAATTGGACACTTAACTGACTGGGCCACCAAGGTGACCCATACCCTCTTAATCTTTAGGCTCTTTACAGCAAGTGCCTGGTAGCTGTTGAATGAATAACACAGGCCAGTCAGCTAGAGGAATCAAGATTTAAACCTAGGTCTTCTACAACCTCTTTGCCAATCAGGGCATCCTTTGTGCTTATATAGCTGACGTAGTGCCATTAAACTCAGCTAGAAGGAGGAAGCAGCTGTACATCAGTCTTATCCAACAGAACTTTCTACAGTGATGAAAATGTCCTATATCTGCACTGTCCTGGACTGTAGTTCCTAGCCCCAAGGGGTTCTTAAGCATTTGAAATGTGGCTAACACAACTAAGGACCTGACATTTTAATTTATTCCATTTTAATTAATTTAAACTTAAATAGCTGTATGGGTCAAGAAGCCAATGTATTGGTCAGCATAGTTCTAGCCTCTTCTCTCTGACAATTTCCCCTTAATCTAGTCCTATTTCTCTGTAATTTAGTAGAGTTTTTTTTTTTAATTTTTAAACTAATTAATTCACTGACCAGTTCACCGAAAATGGCCTAAAAGAAATATTTAATCAACTCATGAAATACAAATTCAACATGCCCAACCCAGTTACCAACCCAGGGATGCATTCATTTGGAGGGACAAATTTATAGTCCCAATCTAAGAAGTCAAGCTATTTCCTGAGGCCTAAAGATGGTTCCAGGCTTCTCTCATGGTCTAACATTTTGGAACTGGCTTCATCATCTTCCCTACCTTGATGCACTGAAAAGAGTCAGAGGAAGATCAGAGGAAAAAGCACACATTTTTAAAGTTTTGATTCAAAGGGATAAGAGCTATAGGGGATTGGAGGATTTGGTTAGACTTCGCATCAAACTTTTCACATCAAATAAGCAAACAAAACAAAGAATGGTTAAAAAAGAAGAAGGATGAGGAGGAGGAGGAGGAGGAGGGGAGGAAGAGGAGGAGGAGGAGGAGGAGTTAGACCAAGGATATTTTTCCTGAGTAAAGAAAAAAAGAATTTGCCTCTTACCTGTCCAGCAGAATTTTTGGTTTTGTCTCCCTGCAATGCCAGTTCTGGGTTTACAGAACCATTTTTGACTTTCTCAATAGACCCATACTGGTACATTTTGTCTGATGACAATGCAAAGTCCTGGGGGGCTTGCTGTGGGGATATGTCCCTTGTAACATCTCTAAGTGGGGCTTCAGGGATACTGCAGAGATGAATAATAAAACACAGAGTGAGCACCAAGGCGGAGAAGAAGAACATGACCTGGAATTCTGTGCCCAGTGCTCTTCCTGTCTCCAGATGAGCCCAGTCGATGCCACCCAAAAGGTAACCCAGGGCACCTCCAAAACCTAGAAAGCAAGAAAAAGCTGTGTTAGCATAGTTAGCAAACCATCTTCTCTTTCCATGGTGTCTGGAGACCCCCCGCCCTTCGTTGGGAAAGCTCCCTGAGGACAGCAGAGGCACCTGGTTATGATAGAGTTAACACAGCAGGAGGCCAAGACATCTGCAACCACAAAATGTGGGTTCAAGATCAGTTCTGGCATGTGCTTGCTGTGCCCTTGGCCTTCCTCACTCATAACGTGGGGGTAATGATAGAAGAGCCACACTTGGTTGTGATTCAGAGGGCTGTTCTGGGACTCGTGGTGCCTCAGGATCTTTATCAGACAATGACTCTCTTTATCTCATCATGGAGATGCCCAGGGTGTTAGAGGTCTTGGGCTGAGCTGAGCAATCAACCAATAAAGATGTACTAAATTCCCAGCACTATTTGAGGGTCTATCTAAATCAGGACTGATTGGAAAATGGACTAGTGCCAGACACAACCAGACACAACCATTGCCACCATCAGAAACCCTATGGCCTTTCTAAACTGCACACTCTAAACTGCTCCAGAACTAAAAGTCCTGCCCTTAAAGAGCCCTAGGAAAAACCAACCTCTGACTGCAGTAAAATTATTTGTATTGGCATTTATCTGTTAATAAGCTTCCTAGTGTGGCGCAGGTTTGCCAAGATCAAACATCTTTGGACTCTGAATTCTTTCCTCTATTTGAAAATAAAGGAACTTTTTTCCAGTGGATAACAAAAGGTGAAATATGAATTTAAAAAATCTTATTGTCTTCTCACAGGACGGGATTTTGACTTGAAGTCTTTCCATTGCTCATTTTACCTGCTTTTGCTAAAGACAGTGTGATTTAAGGAACAGTGAGGAAGGACTTCCCCAAATCAATCCTGCCCTCTAATGGTCTAATATTTGAAATCCTATTAGTAGTGATTCATTCTTTCTGGATTTTGAAACACAAGAGCCCCTGACCCGGGCAAGACACTGTATTACCCAGCGCCAAAGTAGTTAAGTGCTCTTCAGATGGTGGCAAGTGTCAGTGGTTCTAAAAAACGTGAGGTGGGGGGCACTTCTGGGGGTGGGAGGGTGCCAGGGGAAGTAAGGAGATGGATGCCTACCTGTGTCACAAACTTATGTAGGGCCGATCACCCTGTTAACCTTTCCACTTCAACTGCCCATCATGCCTTCCCAAACACAGAGAGCCACCTGGACAGAAAAGCTTTGTTTTTGTCTTTATTTTTCTTATGCCAGTGAAGTCTCCATCTTATTTCCCAGATAAAGACAGTACCCTCACAAGCCAGGGAATCAAGGAAGAAAAGGGAACTTAAGGGATTCTCTAATTCTAACCCTAAATACCCAACATAAACCTTGACCCCAGGAACACAAATGTCAATGTCAAATACCATGACTCCTAATTTATCTCGAATGGTGGAAGAATGGGCGATTCTGGTCACGCTACATTCTGGTTAGTTGCAATTTACACAGAGGATATTTACAGGCGACCAACTATTTAACTGTTAACCAATGGATTTCAAAAATAAAGCATCGTTGTCCTGCCCTAAGTGCCAAGGCATTATAAGACAGAACTATGGGAGACAGTGGCAGACTGGGTGCAATGAGGTCAAAAATACATGTCTTCTGCCAACAGGAATATATGGTCTAGCTATGGATGATGGTCATATCCATAAACAGATAAGACACGTGTGGGTCCCAGGCTGTGAGAGGAAGGAGGGGCCACTGAGCCAGCCACACCCGGCTGTGATTTGGAGGGCCTCTCTGGGACTTGTGGTGCCTCACAATCATTATCAGACAATGATTCTCTTTATCTCGTGGTGGAGACGCCCAGGGTATCAGAGGTCCTGGGCTGAGCCGAGCAATCAACCAATTAAGATGTACTAAATTCCCAGCACTATTTGAGGGTCTATCTAAATCAGGATTTCCCAATTTCAGCACCCCGGACCTTGTGGGCTGAAGGATTCTTGGTTGTGAAGGGCTGTTCTGTGCACTACAGGGTGTCTGCAGCATCTCTGGGCTCTCCCCACCAGATGCCAGTAACAACTCCTCCACCAGCCTGATAACCAAAAATGCATCCAGACATTGCCTAATGTCCCATGGGGGGCAAAATGGCCCTTGGTTGAGAACCTCTGACCTAAAAGTAATCTTATGAAAAACTTACACGTTCTTTTTTGGAAACTGTTCATCATTCATTACCAGATCAATGGTTGTCATACTGTCATTTAGTTCTCCTGTCATTTATGCCTCTTCCCTTCTCAGCTACCATTCCACCGAGCAAGGGAAATGTAAAGTAAAAGACCCCTGCCCATTTAGAAGAATTTATATGTGAGATGAACCCTCCACCGTGCAACAGAATGGTGGCTTTATTTTATGGATGTAAATATATGGGCATAAATCTAATGATGAATTCATGTTCAGTATTGACTAGAAGGATCGAGTTCTACAACTGGAAGGTTTCCTAGTCTATTTTGATGTCTGCTGGCTTAGCGTACTTCAATAAATATTGTTGAGCACTAAATAAATGTGAAGGACTCTCCGAGCTTCTGGGCATGCAGATGTAAAGGAGATGCAGCACCCCTTCCATTCCTCCCCAGAAGGCAGTTCAAAGTGGAAGAAGCAGGTAAGTAAACAGCTACTTTATTTATTTTTTAAAAGATTTTATTTATTTATTTGACAGAGAGAGAGAGATCACAAGTAGACAGAGAGGCAGGCAGAGAGAGAGGGGAAAGCGGGCTCCCCACTGAGCAAAAAGAGCCCGATTAGGGACTCGATCTCAGGACCCTGAGATCATTATCTGAGCCAAGGGCAGAGACTTAACCCACTGAGCCACCCAGGGGCCCCTAAACAGCTACTTTAAAAAAAAAAAAAAACTGGGGGCCTGGGTGGCTCAGTGGGTTAAGCCTCTGCCTTCAGCTCAGGTCATGATTCTAGGATCCTGGGATCAAGCCCCACATTGGGCTCTCAGTGGGGAGCATGTTTCCCCCCCCTCTTTCTGCCTGCCCCTCTTCCTACTTGTGATCTTTCTGTCAAATAAATAAATAAAATCTTTAAAGAAAAGAAACTGTAATAAATGATGCTAGAGGGGCACCTGGGTGGCTCAGTTGGTTACGTGTCTGCTTTTGGCTCAGGTCATGATCTCAGGATCCTGGGATCGAGCCCCACATTGGGCTCCATGCTCAGTGGAGAGTCTGCTTCTCCCTCTCCCTCTGCCCCTCCCCCTGTTCCCTGAAATAAAGAAAATCTTTAAAAAATAAAAGAAAATGATGCTAAAACTATGACCTGGGTACTCAGAGTATAGAGGAGTTCTGAAGAATTTAGTTGTTTCTGGCACCTAGTTAATAGTACCAAGATGATGTTGATTATTAATAATTATTATAGGATTCCTCTTGATTAGCAATGAAGTTCGTAAGAGTTCAGTATATCAAAGATATTAGAGGTAGAAGGCTGTTCTGAACTCGTCTGGTTGAATTCGATCTGAAAGCCAATGGTTTACAGTGGTTAAGTGACAGGGGACAGCATGGAAAGAAGGGATTTGGAATTTTCCCTGATTTCAACCCCCCCCCCCCCCACCGTGTGCTTTCTGGGGGTGGTGAAACTCCCTCGCGTGAGTTGTGTGACTGCTAACATGACAACGCACGTACCTCGTCGGCACAGATGGTGGCAGAACCAGGACCCAAACCGAGGCCCTCTAGACTTGTTCCAGAAACCCTGACTCCAAAGCCTTCCCCAGAAGTGGGAAAGTACTATTGCATCAGGGGGACGATCTGCCCAGTGATTAGAATCCAGGGAGGGATCTTTCTGGGGGATGAGCTGGGCCTACCACTGACCAAGCAGGGCAAGTGGGAAGTATAGTGGAAGGAAAATGTATCCCAAACCTGGAAAGTGCCTGATTTAACAACAGTAAGTGCCTGATTTAAAAAAATATCAGTCTAGAGCAGTGCTTCTTAAACCTTAATGTGCGCATGGATCATATGGACATCTTCTTAAAATGCAGAGTGCCTTGGTCTGTTTGGGTTTATGTAACAAGAATGTCATAAGCCGGGTGGCTTCTAAACAACAAAGAGTTATTTCTCCCAGTTGTGTTGGCTGGGTAGTGGCGACTGCGGAGTCAGCAGACGGGGTATCCGGTGAGGCGTGCTAATCCCACTCAGGAGGCCTCGTGACCTAACCACCTGCTACACGCGCCACCTCCTGATCCCATCACATTGCGGCTTAGGGGGCTCACGTATACATTTTGAGGGCAAACACTGAATTTATAGCACAGGTTCTGGTTTTAAAGATTCAGGGTATGGTCTTTCCAAGCTCCCCAGGGATGCCAGTGTGGCCAGTCTGAACATCACTCTGCATAGGCGGGTAAGAGAGCAGTTTCTTTCTTTCTTTCTTTCTTTCTTTCTTTCTTTCTTTCTTTCTTTCTTTCTTTCTTTATGTGCTATGGTGAGAGCTGTGAAGTGTGTAAACCTGGCGATTCACAGACCTGTACCCCTGGGGATAAAAATATATTATATGTTTATAAAAAAATAAAATTTAAAAATAAAATTAAAAAAAAAATAAAGTCTTCAGAGAAGAGAGACAGAGGAGGAGGGAGTAACATCTCTAGCTGAATTTGTGTGAACCCATAAGCCATAATTAACCAGTAACAACAGAGCACCTGGCCTCTCAGCTCCCATAAGATGAAGGTCATTCCTGCTCCTGACCTGTGCTTGGTCCACAGAGAAGGCCCTTAACTCAAAACCCAGTAAAAGAAAGAAAATAATGTTGCTTCTTGAAATTCGGGTTCTTCAGTTCTCTCTCTCACTTCCTGTCCGACATGCTGGGAACTCACAAGATGAACTGAAAAGGAAGCAGAAAGACGAAAAAGAAGAGGGGCAGGGGGAAACTCATGTTTCTGAGCCTCTAACACAAAGCACTGATGGTGAGGAGAGGACTCTCCCGCCAGCAAGAGGACCTGTTCCAAAGTCTCACGTCAGAGTAAGCATGGGTCTGACCGGGCAACCCCCAAAGGTCAGGGGTCACGGGGAATTCCTCAGCCTGGGAGCAGGGTTAGAGGATACACAGAGCATTTCTTTCCATCCCTCCTGCCGAGGAACAACAAACCCTGACCCAGAGGCATCCCACAACTCAAAACGACTGTTTTCTGCAAACAAGCCACAGAGTTCCAGATCAGGAATCAAGGCAAGAAGCCATGCTGGGGAAGTTTTCCCACACAGCTCTGCCAGTGCATTTCATTCCTTGGCTACATCACCCCTTCAGCCAGAGTTCAAGAACAAGAGGGCAGAAATGGTTACATTCTTTGATCGTATGGAAAAAGAACACGCAGACCTTTCCATCTGGGTCAAGAACTAACCCACACTAAGGGACTCATGTGGTATGAAGCCCACCCCTCTGTCAATGGAGGCGCCATCATTGAGCTTAGGGGTTTACATGTCACTCATGTCACTGACAGCATTTGCACAGCGAAACACAGAGAACACTTAATTCTTGCATTTATGGAAATTAGAACCTAACGAACTTTCCAGAGTTACAATGCTATAACAGCATGTGGTAGCAAAAACTGAGGTCTTGGTAGTGAGAGGCTGGAAGACCACTCCAAGGCTTCATAGTGGCCCACATCCTAGAATTAAATCTCTTTTTTGAGCACATCTTCCATTTGTTCTGGTGACATAAATCAAAATTTCTTCACCTCAATGTAAAGCTGACTAATCAAGGAAACAGGGATGCCTTCAAACATGGGTATTGGGTGGAAATGTGTTTCTCTGACATGTCGGTAGGATCTGAGCATTTATGTAACTGTCTCTTCTTGAGAAAACCTCCTCCCTCGTTCCAGCTCAAGCAATTGTTCACTGGAGATCTGAAGCCAAGAACCCAATAGTCTCGGGAAATAGACACAGACTTGTTCTTCACCTTGAATTGAAGAAGATGTTGGGAAAAAGTTTTGGTCAAGACTTTCGGGAGGTCAATGGAAAAGGATTCCCTGGGGTGCCTGGGTGGCTCAGTCAGTTAAGCATCTGCCTTTGGCTCAGGTCATGATCCCAGGGCCCTGGGATGGACCCCTACATCAGGCTCCCTGTTCAGTGGGGAACCTGACTGTCCCCTTCACTCTGTCTGCCACTCCCTTGCTTGTGTGCGCTCTCTCTCTCTGTCAAATGAATAAATAAAATATTCAGAAAAAAACAAAAAAGGAAAAGGATCTGCTCTTAACGCCCATACAAAGCCCAACTCTTCATACTGCTATATGAAACTGAGCACCTCAGGCTTTGGGAAACATGTGGACAATGGGAGACTGTGTCCTCATGTGACTGTCACCTGGGGGCCACAGAGCCAGCCCAAATCCTGTGGGTAAGAGGCTCCGGGGTTATTCTAATAGCACACATTTGGGCAAATTGCAAGAAGGTGTGCAAGAGAGACAGATGAAATTATGAAATGAAAGGTGTCCCTTTCAAACAGATGAATTTTAAAAGGCACCTGTCTAAGTTGACAAACAACAAAAAGATCCTCCACTTTGGGCAAAGGGATTATAAAAACCTTCTTTTCCTCCTGAAGCTAGGATTTGGTTCCATTAGCAGCATAAGAGCTGGATTTCAGCCCTCACTGGTCCCTGTGATGGGGTACTTTTGTGGGGTTGGCAAAGCACAAACCACCCTGGGGGGCCCAGCCACTTTCGGTTGGGGATTCCCCTGAAGCGAGTATCTATTCCTTACAAGAAACACCTGGAAAGAAGAAGTAGAAACAAAGATGGGCCTGAGTCTGGGGTGGAGATATTCTCCTCCCTTCTCAGAGGCCTCGTGATTGGGCCTAGGACTCAGGAGACAATTATGCTTCCGGGTACCCCTCAGCAGGGGGATTAACAGTGGGGCAACCCTTGCTACAGATCAAAAGCCCAGCACTTGGTTAGAGACCCTCTTGGAGCTCAGCCTAGACCCAGCACAGCTAAAGCGAAGAGAAGTTTCAGGTCATTATTTGTATTGTCCTTCCTTTTAATGTAAACTTTCTAAAAGAGTCTTACTAAAAATTACACTTTGAAGAAGAAGAAAAGGCCTGACCCAAGCCCAGAAGAGAATAGCAGAGTTGACAGCAGTGTCCCCTCCCAAACTCAACATGATGGTGGCAGTCCCAGCGTTCTTAGAGTGATGAACCCAGGAGAGCCACAAAGCAGAGTGACATCACACCGCCATCACAAGGACCCAGTGCCCTGGGAACCCACCCAAAGTGACTCAGGGACCATTTCAGCAGACTGTGTT